TTCACAATGACTAAGCACTTTTATGGGAAGAGCTGCAGTCTAAGTTATTGCTTTGCACTTTACTAAACATCAATCATAAATTAGGATTTTTTTAATCATCTTGGTGCATTTACTTCTAGTCCCCCCCAACTTCAATTTCAAGTTTAACTGTAGGTGGTTTATGTTTGTCACTTATTTTTAGTTGGGCTTGTTTAGCAACGTGGTAATTATTCACATCATAGGGGAGCTATATATATACACATATAGTATCTATAATAATTAATGTAAACCAAATATAATTCAGAAAAGAAAAATGCAACTGGGCAGACTTTAGGAATAACCTCGGCTCTCAGATTGAAGCGTGTGGCCCTGAAAAGGGCCTTTGGAGTTGGGGGTAAACAACCGTTTACTCTGAGCTGGTGTACAGCTTTTTAACAATGTTGTTACAGGACCTGAATAAAAATGCTCAAACATTTAACATAAACATCTGAGGTATTCTCAGGTTTTCCTTAAATGGAGATATGTTAACCTCCTGAGAACCTGCATCCTCATATGAGGACGTTGCATTTTTGTCTCTCTTTACCATGATACTTCTTTTTTCTTTCGACTTTGACCTCTTGGCCTCATAGAAGACTACTGTTTGAAATCTAAAGGAAAATAAATCATGTTCTTATTGCGTAATTCAAATTTTTGAATAAGTCATTTGGACCGAAATTGCAAAAACATTAAATTTAATGTATAAACAAAAATTTTAAATATAAACTCACTGAGTATATATGATGAAAAACTAACTATACCATGACAGTCTAGTTTTTAAACTTACTACGGTAGGTCCAACTATCCCGTATATCTTGAAAGAAGCAAAAACGGACACCAAATAAAAGCTCCGGTCTCAGGAGGTTAATATCAACATTTTAGAAATGACTAAACACTTATGAGAAGAGCTGCAGCCTAAATTATAGCTAAACCACTTTACTAAATACTAATCATCTTCGTGCATTTACTTCAGTTAAATTTAACTGTAGTTTAGGTGGGTTTATGTTCCTTACTTTTAATAAAAGTTGGGCTTGTTTTGCAACATGGTAAATAATTCATTCATACAATGTGGGGCAATGTATATACA